GAAGCAAGCCGGTGAAATGGAAGTGGGGGCGGTTACTCTTCAAAGTGGAAGAAAGGCCAGGGAGCTACCCCTAAAGAAGAAAGTGCTTGCCTTAGAGGAGAAACAGGGGGGCTGGTAGCCCTCCTGAGCAACGAAAAAGGAGAAGGCCGCTTGGATCCCCCAACCAGAGCAGAGTAAGGAAAAGGAAACTCCAACTCTTCCCTATCCTTCTCGACTCCGAAATGACCGTATGGCAACAGAGTTTGCCCACTTTAGGGAGTTGATGAACTAGTTGCAGTTAAACATCCCCTTCATGGAGGCCGTCACCCAGATGCCCAACAAGAAGAAGCTGGAGGGGATAGCTATGGTGAGCTTGAATGAAGAGTGCTCCGCCATCCTGCAAAACCACCTTCCTACAAAGTGCAAAGATCCAGGAAGTTTCACCATCCCTTGTTTTATTGGCAACATGTGCATAGGAAAATCCTTGGCGAATCTAGGAGCCAGTATAAATGTGATGCCCTATAATTTGTTTCAAAAGCTAGACCTGGGTGAACCTAGAACTACTAGGATGAACATTCAGTTGGCGGATATGTCTATTGTACGACCTAAGGGTGTCGTGGAGGACTTGCTCATTAAGGTGGGCCCTCTCATTTATCCAGTTGATTTCATCATTTAGACAGTGATGAAAACGTAGATGTCTCGTTCATCTTGGGTAGACCTTTCTTAGCTACCGCCAAAGCCTTGATTGATGTGCATGGGGGGAAGTTGGTGCTTAGGGCAGGGGAGGAAGAAGTGACATTCTCCATTGATGATAGCATGAAGTTTTCTCATCATCATGATGATTTTGATTATTGCGAAGAGTTCTTTGACTTCATGGAGTTTCTAACCCTTTTGAAGAGTGTTGTTTGTTAGGGACGAACAGCTCGAACTCTCCGGAAGAGGAAAGCCAACTTTCGCAAGATCAAGAAGTGGAGGCTTTGTCCTCGATGCCAAAAATCCTTACCTCGTTAGAGGAATCTCCCGAGTTGGAGCTTAGTCCTCTGCCTCCATATCTTGAGTACACTTTTCTGAGGGATGATGGGAGACTCCCAGTCATCATCAACTCAAATCTTACACCGGAGCAGAAGGCTGAATTGATTGCGGACCGACCTTTTGCTCGCACAAAATCCACTTGGAGGAAGGTGCCAAACCGGTTCGACAACCGCAAAGGCGTGTGAATCCTAATATGGAAGAAGTGGTGTAGGCAGATATGGGTTTGCCATGGATCTCTCCAGTGCTTTGCCGATGTGGGATTTGCCTAAGGTGTTACAAAAACCGCCAAGAAAAGAACAGGGGATTACAGAGAAGAGGAGGGGGAAGGACAGATTACATTCCGGGGTAAACCAACACCCCTCTCATCATCCTTAAGAATATTAATCAACCGAACTAGAGGGTTGACAAGTTCGTGTATACCGTAGGGATAAACGAGATTGTACTTCAAGAGCCAGTCTGCGACTGTGTTCCCTTCCTGGTAAGTATGAACTATGTTAACCAACCAACCAAATTAATTTGTATTTGTTTATATTAACAGTATGGATTCTCAGACAAACCATCATGATAGTGATGAAACTAATCAAGTGCTGAGCATAGGTAGGACACTTGCTTCTGAGGAAGATGCTTGTGAGTTTTATAAAGCATATGCCCATAATCTCGGCTTCAGTGTTAGAAAGCACTTGATCAAGCTAATACGAACTGGCCAAGTGAATAGAAGGACATATTGTTGTTCTAAAGAAAGAAAGGTGTTGACAAAAGGAGTGAGCAAGTGGCTTATCAGCGGCCAAATATAAAGAGAGGGTTGTTTAGCTCATATGACATGTCGATTAAATAAGGATGGCTTGTTTGAGATTGTTAAATTTGAATAATCTCATAATCATGAACTTGCTTCAACTCCAATTAAGCACATTGATATCGAAGAGAAAGTTTACTTATGCTCATAAAGCTATTGTTGATGATGCCGAGAGAGGTGAATTATTAGCCAAATCAACAATCAATCTACTGGCAATGCAGAATGGCGGTCGTGCGCACAATGGGTTTCTAGATAGCGATTACGATAATTATGTTTCTTCACAGAGAACAGAGAAAATGATTAAAGGAGATCCTCGTGCAATTATGAATTATTTTCAGAAAATACAGTCAGAGGATCCATCATTTATCTATTCAGTTCAACTTGATGATGATGATCTCATAATGAATATGTTTTGGGCTAATGGTAGATCTGTAGATGATTATAAACACTTTGGAGATGTCGTGTGTTTTGATACAACTTATAGAAGCAACAAATATGGTCGACCATTTGCACCATTTCTTGGAGTCAATCATTTGAAGAAAACAACTATTTTCGGGACCATGCACTTAAATCAAAAGAATTCACTCGTGAGATAAATTCATGTGTGTATGGTTATGAGGATGAAGATGAATGGTTTATGATGGACCAACGCAAATGATTAAAAAAATTTGAATTTTTTTATGAATACCTGATAAACACTACTTTATATAATGAAAGGAGCAATCAAGTATTGGTGCTTGTCAAGGTCTAAAATGTCCAAGAAATTATTAACTCGGGGGAGGGGGGGAGGGAGAGAAATAGCCGTTTAATCTATCCCGTCCATTTTTGCCATTCCTCTCTTCCATTGTCTTCTACTTCTTCATCCTTCTCCCTCACCCTTACCAGAAATGGCATCTGCACAACTCTGATGCAAGTCTCTAAGATTATAACTTTGATATTTACAGAACAAATCCAAAATCTTATTAGCTTTATAATGTTAATAAGGTTTGTTACACCAGTTGATTATGTCTCCATCAATGACCCCTTGTTCCCCCCCCCCCCCGGTTGCTTCCCTCTTGCTTTTCCCGCTTTCAAGCCAAGTTTGGATGATTTTAGTACTTTGCATCGACAGCCGCAATCAACATACTGATCCTCTCGATCATGGCCATGGTGGACAACAAGAGCAAGGACAAAGAGAAGGACTATGCCCAACATCACTTTCTACTGGCCGCTTCCAAAGATCTGATGGCGCATTTTCTCTTCGTGATGAGGGGAGGGGGGGAGAGCCATCTAATTTACCCCCAGTCATTGTTGACATTCCTCTCTTTCGTTGTTTTCTTCTTCTTCTTCTTCATCCTTCTCTCTCACCCTTACCAAAAATGGCATCTGCACAACTCTAATGCAAGCCTCGCCGTTTAATCTACCCCCAGCCATTTTTGTCAATCCTTTCTTCTGTTGTCTTTTTCTTCATCCTTCTCCCTCACCCTTACCAAAAATCGCATGTGCGCAACTCTGATGCAAGCCTCGAAGAATATAACTTTGCAATTTACAGAACAAAGCCAAAATCTTATTGTCCTCTACTGTGGAATTCTGGATGTCAAAGTCAACATCAGCTTGTGGAAGCAATTCTTGTTCATCTGAGTCAAAGTATTCATATTGTTCATGCTTACTATGACTTTCCGCTGGAATGCTTGCAGAAGAATGATCAACAGTGTGATCCTCAGGCTGCCCCCCTTCATCCATGGATGGATGAACTTGAGGAGAAGATTCATGCAGAGGGAAAGGAACATGTAAGGCAGGAGCAGCAGGGGGAACCACTGGTGTTGAGATAGGAGAAGGTGCCAAAGAGAAACTAGCATCAAGGTAGTGGAAATGAAGTATTTTCTCATATAAAATGACATCCCTGTTGATGAAAAATTGCTTGGTATGGATGTCCATAACCATGTAGCCTTTGATACCTGTTAGAAACCCCAAGAAAATACATTGTCTAGCTCGAGGAGAAAACTTGGTTCTTTCATGAGCAAGGGTAGAAGTATAACATAGACATCCAAACACCCTTAAATGAACCAAAAAGTTGGACTTGTTAAACAGACTGAGAAAAAAATGACTAAATTTTTGTGTTCCCAAAATATATCAAAGTAGATACCATTTTGAAAAGCACAATTAACCTGATTTATATATGAAATTTTTTAATTCTGACTTAAAATGATAGAGAAATCGTCCGTTAAAAATTAAATGGAAGAGATTAAAGGCTTTCTAGAAGAGAGAGAGGGTGTTAACGGCATGCTGATGTGGACGGATCAATACCCCTCTCTCTTTCATTGGAAGATTTTAATTTTTTCCCTTAAATCTTTGACGAACGAGTTCTCTCTCATTTTAAGTTGAAATTTTAATTTTTCTGCACACATAAATCAGATTAATTGTGCTTTTCACAATGATATCCATTTTGATATATTTTTGGAACAAAAAAAAATTGAGGCATAAGAACAAGGACTTGGTCTAGTGGTAATACTACTAGCCTTGAACCTGGAAGTTTTAGGTTCGAATCCCTTAAGTAGTATCTAAATAACAAAAAAGTAAACCTATATCACCCTTATAAAAAAATTGAGACATTTTTACTAGTATATACCATGGTGGTATTGATTGGTATTAAAATAAAAGCATACCTTATGGTATGAAAGCGTACCACAAGATACACTCCCCCATAGTAGGGTGGTATTTTTTGGTCCTGCGTTTTTTTTTTGGGCAAATACAATATATTATCCACAACTATTAATAAACGGGAAATTATATCCAACTATCGAAATACAAAATAATAGCCAACTGTTAAGTCTCCGTTAACACTTCCGTTAGATGATGGTGAATTTGCAGATGCTATGCTGACATGGCAGTCAACACAAATGCCACATAAGCAGGTCAACCTTGTAACTTATTAATTAATATATTATTAGGGGAAAAAATAAAAAAAATCCCTGATTATCCCCCGATTCCAATCATCATCGTCAATTTGCCCCGCAGGTCGTCGCCGTTCAAGCTCTAGAAACTCTTGCACACGATTCGGAAGCTGAACGGGGGCGAGCGTCTCTCCACCCTTTTCCGGGTAGCCAGGTCGGGGGAACGCGAACGGCCGTAGGCTCGCCGACGGGTCGGGTTTCGGCAAAGAGGAGTAGTAGTTCTGTGGGCTGCTCTGTGCTGTGCCGAACGAATAGTCCTCGAAATGACCTCTGCAAGATCTGGTGCTCATCTTCGTCAGCGCCGATGGAGTCGGCGAAACCTGGAAATTGGATTGTGCGATGGAGGCGGAGTAGCTGTTTCGGCTCTTCGTGCTTCCCTTCGAATCTCCCAGATCCGTCCAGAATCTTCGATCTTCTGCCTACTGGCGCACGAACTCATGCGAGACAAGCACTTCGATCCGTCCAAAATCGAATCCGATCTGATGAAGCTGTTCGAATTGGAGGCCTACAAGGCGTGGGCTGCGCTGGAATCGGCGATGGAGGCGGCGATCACGGAGTTACGTAGGTTCGAGGAGGAGATGGATGGGATGGCGAAGGAGAAGGCGGCGTCGGTGGCTTCGAAGAGGTTCGTTCCAGGGCGGCGGATTGGAAAATAATAGGGGGGAAATTCTTTCCAGCGGAGGGGATTGGGAAAAAATAGGTTTTCTCTTTTTTTTTTATTTTTTTAATAATAATGATTATTTTAATATATTATTGTTTTAATATTCTGACGTGGAATGGTGATGTGGCAGTCTCCGTTATAAAATTTAACGGAGATACAGACAGTTAGCCATTTCATGATTCGCAATAATAGTTGTGGCTATTTGTATTTCGATAGTTATGGATATAATTTCCCGTTTGTTAATAGTTGTGGATAATATATTGTATTTGCCCTTTTTTTTCACCCGGAATTTTTTAGATCCAATAGATCATGATGAACTCGTTCCTTCTGTGCAAATATTTAAAAGCAACTTATAAACGAAGGAGATACCATATGGTATGGAGTTGGTAATGAGAGGTAGATCGAAATGCATCCTCGCTAATTAATGTTTATATTCTATTTGAATGATTTTGCAGGAGGCAACGGAAAATCACCACCATGATTTCCATAGACTTATTTTTTCCCTATTATTTCGGTGATGGAGTAATTGCGAAATCGTTATTTTTATTAGTGATGTGTATTGGCTTAGTAATTTGCGAGATTCGTTGTGTTTAGCTTTTATGATGGACCAACGCACATGATTAAAAAATTTTGAAGTTTTTATGAATACCCGATAAACACTAAACCCAAATTTAGTTGTACCCGTATACTAAATTCAGTTAAAAGTGCGATTCTACATATACGTGTTTTGGTAACTTAAAAATTTAAAATTTAAAAATTTTAAGATGCAATTTTGACTGAATTGTGTGTGGGAATACATAGTACATTTATGAATAAAACTGTTATTATATTCTTCATGTGCACCTAAAGAGATACGAGAAATTTGAACAAAAGAGTAAATAATTTACTATAATTTATGAAAGACAAAGAATTGGAATGGGGAATAGAAATAGGAATTCACCGGAAAGAAAAAGGGAATAAGGCTTCCTTCTCCGTCTGTCAATGAGCAAAAAATTATAAATAATATGTTTTTATGAATATTAAAATAATGAAAGGAGCATTCAAGTATTGGTGCTTGTCAAGGTCTAAAATGTCCAAGAAATTATTAACTCGAGGGAGGGGGAGGGAGGGAGGGAAAGAGTCGTTTAATCTACCCCGTCCATTTTTGGCATTCCTCTCTTCCATTATCTTCTACTTATTCTTCATCCTTCTCCCTCGCCCTTACCAGAAATGGCATATGCACAACTCTGATGCAAGTCTCTAAGATTATAACTTTGATATTTACAGAACAAAGCCAAAATCTTATTGGCTTTATAATGTTAATAATGATTCTTACACCAGTTGATTATGTCCCCATCAATGACACCTTGTTCCCCCCCCCCCCCCCCCCCCCCCCCCCAACCGGTTGCTTCCTCTTGCTTTTCCCGCTTTCAAGACAAGTTTGGATGATTTTACTACTTTGCATCGGCAGCCGCAATCAACATACTGATCCACTCGATCATGGCCAAGGTGGGCAACAAGAGCAAGGACAAGGAGAAGGACTATGCCCAACATCACTTTCTACTGGCCGCTTCCAAAGATCTGATAGCGCATTTTCTCTTCGTGATGAGGGGAGGGGGGAGAGCCATTTAATTTACCCCCAGTCATTGTTGACATTCCTCTCTTTCGTTGTTTTCTTCTTCTTCTTCTTCTTCCTTCTCTCTCACCCTTACCAAAAATGGCATCTGCACAACTCTAATGCAAGCCTCGCCGTTTAATCTACCCCCAACCATTTTTGTCAGTCCTCCCTTTTGTTGTCTTCCTTTTCATCCTTCTCCCTCACCATTTACTAGTCTATACCATGGTGGTATTGATTGGTATTAAAATAAAAGCATACCTTATGGTATGAAAGCGTACCACAAGATACCCCCCCCCCCCCCATAGTAGGGTGGTATTTTTTTGTCCTGGTATTTATTTCACCCGGAATTTTTTAGATCCAATAGATCATGATGAACTCGTTCCTTCTGTGCAAATATTTTAAAAACGACTTAAAACGAAGGAGATACCATATGGTATGGAGTTGGTAATGAGAGGTATGAATTTTTTTTCTTAAAAAAATATTCGAAATGGTTTTCATTTTGTAGAGCACAACGAAATCATTCTATATGTGCAACAAAAATTGAAATTCGCCTTAGAACAAATAAAGATAAGAGCCGATTAGGAAACTAGTAAAAATAAAATACCTTTATTAGTTCTCCAAATCTAGGTCTAAATTTTCTGGACTCACTTAAAAAAGAAGGTCCAGATTTAGTTATATAAAAGTGTATAACCACGCTAGCTTGAGCACACTAGCCCAACTCATTAGTATCGAATAATTAAAATTGCTTTGATGTCGTAAATGGCGAGGAAGAGAAGTTGTCTTCTCCATAACCGGAAGTAGTGAGAGCTTTGTTTGTTGTGTTGTACGATTAGATTATGGTCAACCTCTACTTATGTATACCGGGTAAAATATCTAGGTTACCACTAAAGTATAAAAAATTGGGGGAGTTATACCACTTAACTAAGAATAGGGTATCGCGTACCACTGAACTCTACTATATGTGCACCCGGACCCGGTAACACTTAAGTTTACTGTTAATAGATTGTATGAAACTAAGTTTTGATGCTAAGTTTGAAATAAGATTGTATGAAACTGAAATTTCGCGAATATATTATTATTACAAAAATAATTACTACTATTAATTATTTACAATCTTTAATATTTAAATTAATAGTGATTTTTCGTGATTTCTGGTAGTGGTTTTGATGATTTATGGTAGTGATTTCATAATTTTAGTAGCTATTTCATGAATTTTACTAACGATTATATTATCATTATTTTTTTTTTATGAGAAACAGAGTGAATACGGGGGCTCAAACCCTTAAGTATTAAAAATCGTGGAGTTTGATTTTAACTACTCTAGATAAAAATAATTAAACGATTATATTATCGTTAAATGATTTTAATTAGTAGTTATTGATGATATTTAATAAAAATCGCTACCGAAAAATGAAGAAAACACTACAAATGAACAAATACTACAATAACTACTCAAAATAATACTAATAGTTTACAAAAATCAATACTCATTAAAAGTTACTACTAATCCATATAAGAAACACTACTACATTATTACTACTAATCAAATTAAAAATTTTATTATATATAAACGTGAAGTGAGGTTACTGTTGCCAAAATAACTACATTTTGATACTCCAAATTTAATTAAATTACAATTTAGTCATTATAATGTATATTTTACATTTTGATACCCCAAATTTAGTTTTAAAGTATAATCATTGAACAATTATGTTTTAGTATCTAAAATTTATGAGATTTTCGTACCTACAATTTTTAAAATTTACATATTGGTCCAATATTTACATTTCACTTGAATCCATAAATCCAACCCACCAATTCATGAATCCAATCCACCATAACATAAAATTATAAATATCCATACGCTACCCAAACTCATCTACAACTTCCAAACTCATATATAAGCCACCCATACCCTACCCATAATCAATGGGTCTACTTGGGTTTAGGTAAATATAGTTTATTAGCCCAAAATTTTAAAATATTTGTAATTGGATGTTGCTTGTCATATATCTTTTCTTATTCAATATCATATTGTCAAGTCAATATTATTAACAAAACTACTAACAAAATATTAATTTTAAACTAATAATACTAATAAAACACCATAACGGGTCACATAATACGTGCCGATAGGCCATCTCCTCCCGCGACAAGACGCGAGATCGTCACCTAGTTAATACTGATCTCTATAATCGACAACACAAATATGAGAATGGGGGAGAGCGAAGGTGAATTTGATTCAGGAGGGGCATGTCTCTCTGTAATCAAAATCACTACTCTAGATAATCAAAATCACTACAAGTTGTCAAATAATAGTGTCATGAATTGAACCAATAAATTAATTAGTTTTTTCATCAATTAATGAACAAGTAATGAATTGGTGACATAAGATCCTTATATTACTTGTAGGTGTTGTATTTTGTTCCTCCCAAAATTTACCCCTGTCCTGTGACAAGGGCAAAGTGCCCTAGCTCCGCCTATCTTGCCTGGGTTTCGGTTTGAACTGGGAATGCCACATTTATCGCTTGAAGAGACGAAGGGATTCCAGAGTCAAACGGTAGATAAAGATCCCAAGTCGGAGTGCCCCTGTGCGAGAAGAGCCAGATCCCTTTCAAGCCGCATCTCCCCCAACCCATGCTTCGTATTTTCATTTGCGAACATGAATCAGGAGAAATAAGGATGGTCGCAGACACCACTGCATCTCTGCGCGGCCTCTGCTTCTTCGGAAAGGAGGGGTTTTCGTAGAGGAGAATTCTTATCCTATTTTGTGCAATCAAAGTAAAGAAGAAATTCGGTCAACGGCGCATTACTCTTCCTCGTGACGGTTCTTCTTCCCAGCCAGGTGAAGCATATCTACCTCTCTCCGAAATTCAAGCCATGGAATCGAGGACGAATCATTCACTTCAAATATATGTCTAACAACAAGGTACCAACTTCGATCGTCTTCAAATATGTAGGGAAGGAGGGATCGTCTCCCACCAGGGCCGGATTTGAGCGGGTTCAAGGAAGTGAGAGAGAGGGAAGATCGAGCGACATTCGTCGGCGCCCGCTCAGTGGGTTCGGAGATGTGGTATCTGTCGACGCCACCGTCTTCCGCCACTTCTGTTGTTGCCACCGTCTCCCACCGGCGTACGTTCAGTGGGTTTGGCGATGGAAATTTGTTGTCGCCGCAATCTTCTACATGCGTTTGGTCGGAGGTTATGGAGATGGGAGGTTGTGAATCGGGGAATGAGATGGAAAGGAATGAGAGGGAAGGGCAGAAGGTCTGGGATTTGGGAGGCCAGTGATTTTTGGAGGTGAAAGAAAGATAGTATCGATTATCGAGAAACATTTTCTTTTTCCATGGGGGGCTATCAATGAGGTCCATTTGTTTTTTTGTGAGCCCTCACTCCTGA